AGGCTCTGTGAGCTGAGCCTGCGTGTCTGTTGGGGATCGGACAGCAAGCTGTGTGGGTGCGCTGCCACTTTGAGTAAAATGGAGGATGAGCCACGTGAATGCCCCACCGTGGAGGACAGGTCACACATGGGCGCCGACATCTTGGATAACAGATCACGTGAGAGCCCGCCATCATGGAACTGGGCAAGGTGGTGGGCTGAGGGTTCTCTTCGGATCATGGGCTGTGTGCTGCTGCTGTGTGGGCACTGCGCCGGTCAGGTTCTCTGTGTGACTGGTTCTGGTGGGGAGGGCTCTGGTTCTGAAGGTCATGAACTGAGGTCCAAGGGTGACCATCTGACCTATAGGGAGTTGGCAGGGTCTGAGCTTCAGAAAGCTGCAGGACGTCCCTGCAGATCTGGGGACGTTTAGTGGAAGGTGCCTGTCGTGCTGGGGACCTTTGGCTGCCACGTGCTGAGTTTAAGTGTAGTCCTTCCCGGTAGGGAAGGAGCAGGGATTATGAGTGAATGATGGTTAAATCTGGATGGGTGAAAAAAAAATATGTATAAAGGATGTGAAAGTTTTAAACCTGGAAGAAAGGAAACCTCAACCACTTGTTTTCTGGTTTCGTGGGAAAGGAGCAGGCTTCTCCCATTGGTCCTGTTTCTGACCAGAAACCCTCTGCGCCTGAAGACCTGGTGAAGGTCACCTGAAGACCTAGAAAAGGTCACCTGCAACTGGTTGGGGAGCATGCACGCCTTTGCCCCTTGGGACCCAGGAAGGGTCACTTGGGGCTGACGAGTGCTTCAGCCTGAGGTGAAGGAGCAGGTCTCTGCGAGGCACCAGGGGACCGGACTGGATTTTGCTCTGAAAAGACAATTGAGGATTCCAGAGAAGGTTGAAACTTCATACTCCATAGGAAAGTGAACAAGGAAAAGGATTCTCCTTCACACTTCGTATTTTTCTCCCCACCTGATCTCTCCAGACTTTGGCATTCGGAAGGAGTGAGTGGTGACATGAGGTTTCTTTGCATAAATCCATTAAGACCAGTCATTAATAGTGGTTTTGTTAGCTGAGACTTTGGCTGGAATGTCACACCTGAGGGAGGCATGTATGGGTTCTGGTCATCACCAGAAAGCCCTGAAGAACTGGGATTGACTTGCGAAGCTAGCGTAAGCCCCAGAGAAAAGCCTGGTACTTTGGTTGGTTGTGCAGTTCATGGCAGTCTTTCCAGGGAAGGAACGAAGGTTGCTTTCCTGAAAGATGGCCAAAAAAGAACCTGTAGGCACAGTGGAAGCCTCAAGGATTTGAGTGAAACAACTGGTACAGGCAAAGCCGAATGGCAGGTGTGTGGCTCTGCTTCTGTGCCCTGAGGGGCGGACCGAGAAGTCAATCTGAAGGTTCCTTGTGTGAGTTCCAGTAAAGCAGAATTAAAGATCATAAGTGATCCAGGCTGCTCTTGGTGTGTTTATGCAAACGAACAGGCAAAATGAAAAGCGGAACTCAAAGTAGTCCCTGTAATAACAGTGAGAGTGATCTTAGGGATAAAAATTGTGGTTCAAGGAAAATCACAGTGCTCATCAGTATTGGACATCGGAATGGCGCAGCTGTCTTGAAAATTTGCTTTCATTTGAAAGTTGAAACTCGGTTTGTATTATCACTAAAGAAGTACAATTTACAGGTGCAAAGGACCTGTCAAATTGCCATTGTTAAATGTCATTAAGTCCCTGCCTTCGTCATTTACTGATTATGATTTAATTGTGCTTCCAACTCTCTTTACAAATCTGTCATCTCCAGAATACGACTAGGGTGCCAACAGCCCAGTAATGCCAGCCTCTGGACACCAAGCCTGCGACTTCCTGGTGACAGCCAGCTGACCAGGGGGCAGGTCCCCCTGGTTACAGGGCCCACATGAGAGCTTGGAGATGACTGGCTCCATGCCATGGGGCCGCACCTGCCCAGACTCACTACGGCAGCCCAGGAAAGCTGGAAGGATATGGGAGTGCTGGCAGGTGTAGCCGATTGTGGGAGGAGTCAGAAGTGGGGCTGCAGAGGAAGACTGGTGCGAGGATTTAAACCCAGACGCGGCAGCCATTAAGGAGAGGAACATGCAGTTTTGCCAGAGTGCAGACCCTCCACAGCTTTGGTGGAGGAGAGAACCAGGAGGCTTTGGCCAGGGTGGAGACCCCCACAGCTTTGCAGAGGACCATGCGGCTTGATCCTGGCCAATGACACAGCTGAGGGTGTCAGGGGCCTGAATCTACTTCTTTTCCTGAGATATGGTACCCCAAATTATGGCAGAGGGAGAAGGAACCACTGTGCACGTCTGTGGGTACCCTAAAGGACTTTGACATTTTAATGAAGACATTAGGTCACTACTTTAAGTCTGTGTAACTTTAAATAAAAATTTCCTTTCCTTTTCAGAAATCTCTGGCATTGAGAGTCTTTCCTGGGGCAGCGGACAATGTGAACCCCATGGGGGGTCCCTGTGGTAATAGCATATCGCACCCCCCTTGGCCCTGTTCTGTGACAGTTTTTGGCGTCCCTGGGTGGGCCAATAATCCGCCCCTCTGTTCTGGAACAGTCATACAGCGGAAACACTTGAAAATGCATGTAACAGCCCTGGCCGGGAGGCCCTGGCGCTCCGGGCATCGCCCTGCGGAGCACGAGGCTGCAGGCCGGGCCCGTGGTCCTGCGCATGCGCACAGGCGGCACTAGCTCGGTGTTTCTCTCCTGCTCCCTCCCTTCCTCTTTCTCTCTCCAAATAATAAACACCCCGTGGTGAGGGTTTTTAAAAAATAAATAATAAGTAATGAGCTTCCCATTTATGAATACGGCCTCCAGTTTTCACTAATTTACATCCCTCATGTCTTTCAGAGAATCGCGACCTTCCTTCCGGTTCACGGTCCTGCGTGACCCACCGCGCCCCCGCGGCCAGGACCAGGTACTCACTATGTCTAATGCTACTGTAAATGGCGCCTTTCTCATTTGCCCCACTTTAAAACTTTGGACAGACTCGTATTAATAAGGCTGCAGTTTCTCCTTTGATTTTGATTCCAGCAACGCGGGCGTTATTACATCCAATAACCCCTGGGTACGTGGACCCGGCGAGGAGAGCTTCGTTTGACGGGGACGCTGAGGAGACATTTACCTGCCGAGATGGTGTCCCCGTGGTCAACCGCGGTCCGAAAGTCGACAAAGGATAAGCGTCCTGCGGTCACTGGCTGACAGAAGCTGCTCCCGGACTCTGCGTACCGGGAAGAACCTCTGACTCATCGGCCCGTGTCCCGCGCTAGGCCGGTGCTTCCGGCCCTGGGGACGCTCACTTCCGGCGCTGGGTGCGCTGGTTTTCGAGTCCGAAGGAACAGTTGAAAATTCCTGTGTCCCACCTCACAGCTGCCCAGTCCAACCGGAACTGTTCCTGAACAACCAATCAGAACTGTGCGATTGGGACACGCCCCCTTCATTTACATGAAAGAGCTTATTGGGGTCCTGGGTGAGGACGTCCCTTGGCCCCGAGGCAGGATCTGCTCGAGGTTTGCGAACTGTTTGCCCGAGGCAAACCTCTCCTTTTTTGCTCCAGTTCCTTTCTGCATTTGTTTAGGGTACTGTGCTCTACACAGACCATCATAATCTGCAAATAATCATCTCATTGATTTAAAATGTTTTTAAAATGCTTTAAAAAATGCTTTTAATTGCAGCTGACATGCTGTTAGGTAGGACAAGGTTCTGAAGGTCAGGACCGTTCTTGCTAAATGCTACCCCACCTAGATGTGCAAATGCAGCATTCTGCAGAGCAGCTCTAAACAGGATGAGCTGACAGGAAGCCACCCTGATGCAAGTAGCCAAGTGCAGAGAAAAAACCAACATGTAACTGACGGAATGGTGTGTAGTGTAAGCAACAGGCTAGACCTCCCTTTGGGGAAACAGCTTCGGATGTGAATCCCGTCTCCCTTACCTGCTGCAAGTAAATAAAACCACCTTTCAACAACCTGGTTTCCTTTTGAATACAGCCCCCCAAACTGTGGATCCACTGATTTTGGTAACATTGTATTAGTTTCAGGTTAAAAAAAAATTTTTTAACCTGTGTATCGTGAAGTGCAGCCCTTTTATGTGCACATTTGAATGATTTTCTGGAAAATTTAGTGAGTTGTACCATCACAGTAATCTGCTTTTAGAACATATTCATCCTTTTTTCCATCTTACTCGTTTTTCTGGTTTTTTTTTTCATCCTACTGCACTTGGGAGGGATTTTGTGTAATTTTGGACAGAAGGGAGGGAAGTGGGCACTCGGGCTCATTCTCTGTCTGAAAGTGGAATATTCTGTCCCCGTGTAACCAACCACTCACTGCAATGCTCGTTTTGAGATCACCTATGTGTTTCCTCCTATGCCTACTTTTCTGATAAGAGTATTGTTTGGTTTTTAATCATAAACAGCACATGGAAATTCCGTGAAATGTTTTTTTTCTGCATCTATCAAGATGATCACATCATTTCCCCCTAAAAGATGTGTTTCCAACCAGTCTCCCCTCCGTGGGGGGAGCTCTCTAGGTTTTGTCTACTGTCCGTCTGAGCTCCACTAGATGGGAAACCGACATTCAGGTTAACCCGGTTCAGCAAATTCCTTCCAAGAGAAAGCAGGTTTCAACGCACCTCTTCCCTTGGTTCTCATCTTCACTTGGCATGTGCCCCCTTCCCCTTAGCCTTTCCTTGTCGGCTTGTGCATTAAGTTTTCCCTATTATTCAGCAGTGTTAGTGTCTCTTCATTGGGAGAGTTGGTCCACATCCCAGAATCCACTGCCTGCTCTCTCTGGGTCCCACCTGCCCTTTCCTGCTATGCACTTTGTATTCCGGCTTCCTTCAGAAGTCACCAAAGTTCTCTCACGGAACTTTGAAAGTTCTGTGCCCTGAGAAAGGTGGTGGGGTGTATAAGCCCCAAGGGTTTCCTCTTAAACAGAAACAAAACAGTTTCCTACGCCCCATTTTCTCTGAGGGAGAGAAGGAAAAACGGCAGCACCCCACGGTCTGATCCATGCATCCTTTATTCCGTGACCAACCGCTGGGCCGCGCCCAGGCCGCAGTACACAAACCGGTGCTCGACCTCGGTCCAGCCGCACAACAATCTGAGGCTCACAGTACATTTAAGGCTTTTAAATTTGGAGAAAAAAAAGTAAAACAAAACTAAACGAAACAAAAAACCCTCCAAACCCAAACCCTCAACCAATTCGAGCAGTGTAGCAATTTCAAGCATCTTCCATTTCTGATGCTTATAAGATGCAACTCCAGTGTCAAAACCTAAATACCTGTGAAAGTAAAAAGATTAGTTCTGTGAAGTTTTAATTACATAAATTCTTCAAAGCCTAAACTGGTCTTTTTTTTGTCTTGGAAATGTTATAAAATTTTTTGATAGCAAAACATAGGAATAAAAACATATTAACAAAATGTATCCAATCATTTACATTACAAACAAGGAATTTGCAGTTGAATCCTGACGAAGGACAACTATCCATTAGGAATCTATGCACAAATGTGTTGCAAATTTATCTACAGGACTTTTTAAAAAGCCTACAAAGTGGACTCGCCAGGAGGAAAGTCGGTTAGGCTCTTGTCATTAGACCAGCTGGTCAAAATAGGAAAATTCTGTTCGCTAGTAATAAATTTACACTTAAAAAAAATCCAGTTTCTTTTAGTTTAAGAATATTCCAGTTATATTTCTATGGTTCCAGCGGGTGAAGCTGTTCGGGACGGTGCCAGCCAGTTACCCTTCCAGTGACCTGTGTCGGGGGAAGGCCGGCATGTTCGCAGGAGTTAGGAGGACATTTCTGTCACCAGTCTTCCAGCCGCTCCCGCACAGCTTCACCAAGGCATTGACCCTGGGAAGGCGGAGGACATGGGGAGGGCAGGGAGAGGCCTGCGTAAGTGAATCCTAGGTGACAGGGAAGCCGGAGACTTGGAGGGGAGCATCCTTTACACAGCGCCCAGAACCCGCCCCGCCGCCGGCCCTCGCCCCCAGTCCCTGCAAGGACGCGAGGTGGGCAGCCGCGCAGTGCGGTGCGGTGGAAAGGGTGGGGTGTGTGTATTAGTAGAAATCCTCTGGCCGCGAGCCTGAGGCTTCCCCAGCTCCCTGAGGACCACGCCCTACAGGCCGACCCTCCCTGGAGGTCGCCCGGGCCAGAGGACCCTTTGTGTTCACAGTAAGCGAGGTAAAATCAAGTCGTCTTCAGGAATTAGGAAGCTCGTGAGATATGAACTGTTTTAGTCTCTCCAGGTATTGTGCGTAAAGCTCTATGTCATTGTGCCCGGCCCCTTCGACCCAGAGGGGCTCCACGGCTCGGGGGCAGCGCTCGTACATGGCCAGGCCATGGGAGAAGTCAATGACCTCGTCCTCGGTCCCGTGAATGACCAGCACGGGAGAGGTGACCTTCGAGATCTTGTCGATGCTGTGGACAGAGAGGGGGAGGGGAGGAAAGGGCTCTTTAGTTACTCTCACAGCTGACAGCCCACTACGGCCCCCCCCCATTTCTAGTAGTTAATTTAAAAAAAAAGTTTTCCCTTTGGATTAATTCTCGATTTACAGGACAGGAACGAAGATAACGCAGAGTTCCTGTACACCTCTAACCCATTTCCCTCAGGCAGACACTGAACAGTGTCACTGTTTCTTTGTCACAACCAAGAAACCAACATCCATACACTATCATTCAATGCACTCTGGATTTTCTTTGGGTTTCATTCGTTTTTCCACTGACGTCTTTTTCTGTTCTGAGACCCAAGTGAGAATACGTTTCATTTGGCCATTGTGTTTTTTGTTAAAAGTATTTTATTAAAAACAGAACTCCTAAAAGCCACTGGACTAACAATCCAGTAACTACTATTTCTGACGTATTCATATTATTTGAGAAGATTTTCAAAACAGGAAACAGGCTAGAACTTCGCATGTTGAGGGGAATGTCTCCTCTGAAAGCTGAACGCTTAATCCCTGGCCGCTCGGGTTTTGGGAAGTCTTCTTTGAGAGCTGCCTTCAGAACCGATGAACAGGATCCTCACAAAGCACATTTCGTAAAAGGTAACGCCTCACTTTTGATACACACTGCATGCTCCTTAGCTCGGAAAATTCATGCAATGCCTACACTGGGTTCTGAATGGTTTCTGGCTGTTCACTGCAATCAAAGCTGCCCTGGAAGTATGAATTGTCTGAGGATCTTCACAAGAATGTGCTCCAGGCCCTGAAAACACTTTCCCAGGAGGAGGCCGCAGGCTTTGAGCCTTGCTGGGCTGGGCGTGGGGGTGACCTCTCCCAGGAAGGTGACTCAGCCCAGGAGCAAACAGGGAGAAGGCCGTCACCCCGGTCCAGCCTGTCCGCCCGCCCAGGTCCCTCTTCCAGCTGACTCCTCCTTCTGTCTTCCATCCACGTGACAGAGGAACACCCTCGGTTGCTCTCTGCGGGGACTTTCTGCTCAAAGTCACAGCTCAGGTTTGTTAAACATTCACCACAGCTGTGCGCTTTGTCCCGCGCACACAAAACCTCATGTCGCCTTCAGTGGGACCTGAGAAGTGAGCAAAGACCAGCTCTGTTTAACCAGGGCGGAACCGAAGCTTGGAGAGGTGACGAAGTAGCAGCTGCAAGGTGGTGGAGATTGAGGAGGAGCTATGACATCGCTGACGCCTCCCGCTGGCTCCGCCTCCCACGGCTCCAGGGGCTGCAGCCACTTCCAGACCGTCCAGGAAGCCAGCCCGCGTCGGCCATGTCAGAGCCTCAGCGGCAGCGTTCAATTTCACAGATTCAGGATCTTGTTTATAAACTGACTTTCCCCTGCATTTAATTTTAGAGGGACTTCTTCTAAGAATGGGAGAGTTCAGTGAATTCTGTTCCATTTAAAAGATGTTGCCCTCACTGGTGCAGCTCAGTGGATTGAGCACTGGCTTGCAAAACAAACAGTTGCTGGTTCAATTCCCAGTCAGGGCACATGGCTGGGTTGTGGGCCAGGTGCCCAGGAAGGGGCGCACAAGAGGCGCCCACACATTGATGTTTCTCTCCCTCTCTTTCTCCCACCCCTCCCCTCTCTCTAAAAATAAGTAAATAAAATCTTTTAAAAAAAAAAGCCGTTTAGTGGCCGAGGGAAAGGGCTGTGCCCCCCGCTGCACACTCTGGCACGATCTCTACAGCCTGGCGGGCGTGTCTGGAGTTAAATGCCACCGTCTGATTCTAAATGTAAAGGGTAAAATAAAATAAACTATAGACCCAGGAAGGGCCAAGGCCTCCTTCACTTTTTCAACATGAAAAGCAGAGGGGAAGGGGCCCTCCCGTAAAGAAGGGGCACAGAGGCAAGTCCACGATGCGTCTGGCAGCGACCGGCACGGCCAGGAAACGCTGCCCCAGTTCAGCCCACGAACAGAGTCGCCGTGAGCGCCCCCTGTTGGAACGTGTCGCATTCACACTCCACGGGTCTGAACAGGCGGAGCGGCTCTCTCTGGCCGTCCCCCCGACTCACCAACCGTAACTAGGCAACACGATGGGCTGGTGAAGCCTCAGTTTCCTGATCTGTAAAGGGAGTCCAGTAACCAGACTACCATCTTGAGGCTGTTCTGAAGCCTGAGATTACCCTTCGGCCAGATGCCAGGAGTTTCGCACGCGCGCTGTGAAGAGTCTTTGCTAGTTTCCTGGTCGTTCCTGAGCTGCAGTGAGCGAGCGCTCCCGCCGCATTCGGAGATGCAAGCTCATTCAGGAGTCAGAAGAACGCTGTCCGCTTTGTTGCCGGGAGAACTCCTCGAACGGCTTCCCGCGAGCAGGCTGAGCCTCTCTCCCTTCCGACCAGCCGGCGGCCTCTCCTTCCCAGCTCAGCACCAATCGGCCGGCCCCGGCGGAGACAGCCATCAGCCCACTTGGCACTCCCGGGCGCGCCACCAGAAGCACGCGGAGCGCTCCGCGGTGCCGGGAAACCGACTTGCACGGCATCCTGGTACTAACCGCTCCGAACTGAGGCTCGCCCCAGGCGTTACCAGGAGGTTTCTGCTTGCGACATGAGACAGCCTGTGTCACACAGACCTTTAGGAGACCGAATGGTGCTCTTTTCTACACCGAGAAGCAGCAGAATGACAGGAACTCACGGGTCAATCAGAATCCTCAACCGGGACGCTATTTCAGCTGAGGCTTTTCCTATCCAAGGGGCAGGGGAGCCAGCTCCTAGGGCTGCTGGGGCCTCAGACCACTTTAGCAAGGTCCCAGGGGAAAGGTTAGGGGGCAACAGTTTTTATTAAAAAACAGTCCTCAACTTCGATTAAAAAAAAACAAAAAAAAAAACAAAAGCAGATTCTCAGACAGAGGCGTTCAGGAAGCCGTGTGCTGGCTGCTCGGCATTTGTCTCCCTCCCGCTGGCGGCAGCGAGAAAACCTCAGCCCCCGTCCACAGGCTCCCTGGGGCCCAGGTCCAGCCCCTCGGCAGGGGGAGGTCTCCTCGTGAAAGGGGGAGAGAGAATGGAGGGTGCGCTCCCAGGAAGCGTGCTCACATCTGCCGTCCTCGCGGCTGTTACCCAGCCACCTCACGGCGTGGAAGCAGCTCCCTTCATTTTTTCCCTTCGCTGAACTGGCTGACTGAGAACCTGAAGAGAAGCCCTGGCTGGCATAGCTCAGTGGATTGAGTGCTGGCTGCAAACCAAAGCATCGCAGGTTCGATTCCCAGTCAGGGCACATGCCTGGGTTGCAGGCCACGGCCCCCAGCAACCGCACATTGATGTTTCTCTCTTTCTCTCTCTCTCCCCCTCCCTTCCCTCTCTAAAGAAAAATAATAAATAAATAAAAATAAATAAAATCTTTAAAAAAAGAGTAATGTAAGAGATTTACTTAAAACAATAAAAAAGAACCTGAAGAGACACGTCACAGCCGTGGGTGCTGTCCTGTGGGTGCTGCCCTGGCCGGGTGGCTCAGTTGCTTGAAGTGGCATCCCCAAAACCAAAAGGTCTCAGGTTTGATTCCTGGTCAGGGCATATACCTATTGGTCAGGGCATATACCTATTAGGTTGCAGGTTCGAATCCTAGACGGGGTGTGCACAAGAGGCAACCAATTGATGTCTCTCTACCTCTCTCTCTCAAATCAATGAGCATGTCCTCAGGTAAGGACGAAAAATCATCACCAAAACGTGGGTGCCTGCAGTTTACACCTGAGCCTGCGTCCCACCTGTGCTAATGGTCTGGGTGCACACACTGCAAGCAGCTCTCTCGGACTCACGTCGACCCGAATGAACGGACACCGAACACTCAGTTCCTGGCCCACGAGCAGGGTGCTTGCGCCCTGCACACGCAGCGAAGCACTTAAGCCTGGCTGTCAGCGAGGACCAGGCCCTCGTTCGTCATCTGCTGCCTCTGTGCAGACGGGTCGGGCCCAGAGCACCACGTCTCCGGCCGGCGTGCGTGCGTCACGCTCACGCCCCTCCACGTCCCTCAGGCGCCAGCCCGGGCGTGACGGAGCCCTTGGTAAATGTTCACTCGTGGCCCACCGTTAACGGCGACCTGGGACCTGAACTGGGGTCACGGGGCGGCCGCGGCGCCGGCGCGGGCTCACCTGGGGAAGGCATCGAAGCAGTACGTCTTCCTGGTGTCGGGAAAGGCCACGCGCAAACCGGACATCAGCGGCGAGTGCAGGATGACGGCAGCACACTCGTACCTGGAGGCCAGGTCCACCGTGGGCACGGTCCCGATGCTCTGCCCGTACAGGATGATGTTCTCGGGACTCACGCCGTACCTGGGGGCGGGGGTCAGAGGTTGCGTGCCATTAGCTAATGAACAGAGGAGAGAGAGAGAGAGAAACCGCAGTGCTGCACACTCACAAAACTCCCATCACCCCACGCGTCCACTTCACCGACACCGACGGGACGCCATGTCTCCGTACACGTGACCACCGAGGTGCTGTCTTCCACAGCGCTTTGCAGAAACAGCACCCATGACATTTTTTTCCTTCTGGACAAGTAACTACATCCGTGCGTCATACATCTCGTGTCAGTATTGACGGGGCCGTCTCATCCTCTGCTTTCCTCCCTCGCTAGAGCTTCTTTGAGACCGTGCCCCAGTGCCCACGTCACCGAGGAGGCAAAGACCTGTTTGTTTTCACCTCAGCGTGCGGCTCTCTGCACTGACCGAGAACAGGGACGCGCGGGCCGCTCCCCCACACAGCCTGCATCCTGTCAGAGGGGACGGCCTCGGCACTGTCCTGCCGGGAGCTGGGCGTCCCCTGCAGAAGCAGCACACCTGGCACGGGGCCACCGACTTTGAAGTCGGCGGTGGGAACGGTTCGGAGCGGCGATGCCTGGTGGGAACGCCGTGGGACGTGGGACAGAGACAAACGCACGGGGTCCCGGGAGCGTCCGCTGAGGGATGAGGGGGCAGGAACCCCCCCCCCACTGGGGGTTCGAGGACGGGCCAGGAAGGGAAGCAGGTGGATAAACAAGACCTGCCAACCACGGAAGCAGCTCCCGGGGCCCTCCTGTGGAGCCGGCTGCCTGCCTGCCGTGGGCACATCCCCGGTGAACCGGTGTTCCCATCTGGAGGCCCGAGTCTAACCCCTGAGCACCTTGTACTCTCCTGATGAGGAAGACAACGCAGCCTCCGTCCCGAGACGGGCCGTTTTCCCTTTGCGAAAGGACACCTGTGGAGGGTCAGGCTTTTTCTTCTTTAATGTTACAGTGATGTTTCACAAACTTCTGTGGGTCGTGACTTCCAGTGGTGGAAGCAAAGGAAACACGTTTCAAAGTGTCTGCTGAATTCGCGGATTGAGAAAATCTAAAAACTGAACATTAGTGATGTCAACTATTTGTCTTGTTTTATTTTGTTTTGTTTTCTGACTGAGGACATTTGGCCAAAAGGGGCATCAGTAAACCAGATCACTGACACCCCCACCCCCACCCCCGGACCTGTCAAAACCCGATGCAATGTGGACAGTGGTTTCCACATCCAGTAACATTGACTCAAATCAGGGGGGATGGTGAGTCTCCGGGGAAACAGAAGAAAATGAGATTTACACCAAGGAACAGCACTACACCCAAGTATACGTTTAGGCAGAATGAGCATTACGGTCGGCAAGTTCACCGGAGCACAGAGAAGGGAAGTGTCGACATGGGGACAGGAAGGCCAGGACACTCGGAGCTGGAAGCCGCCGCGGGGGAGGGGAAGCCTGGAAACGCAGAGACCGGAACAGCAGCCGCTCCAGGGCAGGGGGAGCTGCCAAGCACCGGACCGGAGCTGCCCAGGCTGGGGCCTCGGGAGCAGAGGCCCGCCAGAGGGGCGCCCCCAGCACCCCGCGAGGAAGCAGGCCGGAGATGCGTCGTGGCCCCGGGAAAGAAGGCGCCGGCCGGGTGAGGAGTGTCGTCGAGCGGCTCACGTCAGCCGTGTGTCGGGAGAAGCGGTACAGACCGGGGGGGGCGGTCGGGGCAGAGGCCGAGGGCAGCCGGAGCTCTGGCTTGTCAGAAAGTCAGTCCAGTTTGGGAAGGTGCCGAGTCTCAGGTGGCTGCGGAATCATCCCCTGGGAAGGCCTAGAAAAGTCCAACCCTCGGGGTTCGTTATAGGAAAAGTCTCCCTGAGACCGTTTGCTGGGTGCTTTACAGAGACCAGCCCTGGGAGATCACACAGGCGGAAACTCTGCTTTACAGACCAGAGCCGCGGAGCCCCAAGAGAGGCTGCTGACCGGACTCGGACCGGTAATCACCAAGACGGCTGCTCCTCGGCCATCCCAGCTCCCGGATGCGGCCTGACTGAGGTGGGGGGAAGAGTCACGAGTAAGACAGACGCTCACCAAGCTCACAGGGGTGCTCCCGGTCAGGGTGCAGGGCAGCTCAGACCACACGGGGCTGCCGGCTCCCGTCTCCGTCCCCGCTGAGCGGGGGCCACACCGCCAGCCCTGCTCGCAGGTGTGACGTGTGGCTCTTCCCGATGGGGCGGGCGTGGGACTCGCGGCCCCTCCTCCAACTCAGATGGAGACGATTCGGGATCAGTGTGTCCATGGCACCAACCTGAAAACTCTGATGCTCTAAAAGTGGACGTTCTGCTCGCGGGGGACAGAGTTTATCCTTGGGGGGGGGGGGGACGCAAAGCTCTGCGGGCGCATGGCGGTGAAGGCCGCAGAACCGGCCACTCGGAAAAGGGCTCCGACGGGAGAGTGCGCTCTGTGTGCTTTATCGTGACGAAAAGGAGGAAGACAGTGAGCAACCCTGCGGGGTCGGACTCGCGAGGATCTGTCCCTTGTTACTGGGGGCAAGGGGAAAAGGCCAGATCTCCAGAGTTCAAAAATGAGATCCGACTCTTAGGATAGGTAGTAAAGCCACAGTGATAAACAGTCAAGTTTGGGTTTTCTTAAAATTGTGAACTCTCTAAAATCCACAGTCATTACAATTTACCAGGAACATACAGAAAACAGAAAAATGGCCCTGGCTGGTGTGGCTCAGTGGATTGAGTGCCGGCCTGTGAACTGAAAGGTCGCTGGTTCGATTCCCAGTCAGGGCACATGCCTGGGTTGTGGGCCAGGTCCCCTGTAGGGGGCGCGCGAGAGGCAACCACACACTGATGGTTCTCTCCCTCTCCTTCTCCCTCCTTTCCCCTCTCTCTAAAAAACAAACAAATAAATAAAATCTTTTAAAAAAACAAAGAAAGGAAACAAAAAAGATAACATGGTCATGTTGCCAATACTGAGTTCTTTTACCGGTCTGGTAGCCTGTGCTGCTCACGGCCAACCTCTGAGGGGAGACGTGGACTCCGTTTTATTTAAGCATCGCCCTGACCTCCCCGCCACAGAGACCCGTGGTCCTCTCCATCATCTCTCCACCACGCCTGGAACTATTTCTTTTTCTTTTAGCGAAACAAAGGAGAACGGCTCCCTAGGACAACACAACAACTCTGCCGCCCTCCCCCTCTCTCCTGGGGACCCCGCAACTGGCCCCCCACCACCCACAGTACCCACGCAGACGAGTGTCTTCGCGTGGCACCTAGCAATCGGAACAAAGCCATTGCAGAATTCCAACTTCTATATTTGAACGCTCCAGGGCGGTCATTAGAGCGGCCGTCTGCACCCTAAAATACCACCCCGGCCTGCAGACCAGCCCCCGCGGCCTCCGAGGGGCGGGGCAGGGCGGGGCGGACGGCGGCTGCCTGCCTGCCCGCCAGCCTCAGAGGTCTCCCCCGCTGGGAGCTTTCACGGCCTTCCCCACGCCGGTCTGAAAGGCGGCCTGGAGGCACCATCAGCATTGCGTTGTAACTAAGATACTGTGCGGCGCGTAAACGTAACAGAGCGAACGCCGCGTCCTTATGGATCGCGAATGGGAAGCCTCGGCGCGACCAGGAGGAGCACGGCGGCGCCAATAAGTCAGAAGTGCCCGCCCGCCGCGCCCCCCGCCGGGCACGTCCCCGGGGCCTGGGCGGTGACGTCACCCAGCCCTCGGGGGCCCAGCACAGCGACCGGAGACCCGGCGGCCGGACAGGCTCCGCCCCCTTCGCAGACATCGCGAGACCTCCCTGAGCTTTCTCGCCCCTCAAGTCCACGCTCTTGACCTTGGCGTCTTACGTTCTGTTCTGTCGTGGCCTCGGCTTTGCCGAGGCAGGATGAACGACACCCTGTGTGTCTCCTCCTGAGCTTGTTTTGGAAAGGCAGAGCCGTCCCACGCCAGTGAGGTTTTCACGCGGGGGACGGGGGCGCACGGAGGTTTTCGTCCTGAAATGATGAGACGTCCTCGCTGCGGAGGCTGCAGACTGGGACAGCTTTCCCCGGGCGCTGGTCGCACACAGAGATAGGAGCCAGGGGGTGGCGATCGGCGCCCCACCCGCCCGACGGGACCCTTCTGGAGGGCAGAGCTGGCCAGTCACCAGAAGTGGGCTCTACACGGACAGGGGACTTGAGGACCCCGCGGGCAGACGCTGGGAATAAATGCTACATCACACAGAGGCGGGGGCGGGAGAGAAGAGAGGAGGGGTCAGACCCAGTGGGGGCCCCCCAGCCCTGGCACCTGCCGTGGGGGCTGTGTTCCTTTCCCTCACCCCGGAAGTAAGAAAGGTGTCCCGTTGTCTGAGCAAGGCTCGTGTAGGACCCCATATGTCTGTTTCCAAGCGCCCACCTGCCTTCTCCCTGGTTCGGCCTCTCACCACCACCCCCATGGCCACTCAGCTCCAAGCTGACCGCCCTGACTGCGCCCTCTCCTCTTCCTAAGCGCATGGGACCCCCGACACTCCAGTATCCCTCATTCTCTTCCAAAACAGCAAGGGGCACTTTATCACGAGTCCCCTGCCTTCGCCCGGGAGGCTCCCAAGTAGACTTCTAACCCAGCCGACGCCCGGCGGGGAGAGAGGCTGTGGTGGTGGGAGAGTCCCTGCCAACTCAGGGTAACGAGCAAAAGGCGAGCCTTCACTCCCTAATTCCAATCCGCCAAGAATTGTTGGTTTCTTTTTCCCACTCGAAACTCGAAAGAAATCGAAGTGATATAAAACCCTGTGCTAACGCCCTAACAAATGCTTTCGACACCTCAACTCTGTAGGCCTCTTGAGCTCGAAAACGAAGCCAGTTTTCCACCCTCTCCCACAACCTGTCAGAATTCCTCGGGTTCAAAACCCCGTGAAATGGCCCGTCCAGATGTTTATGAAAACACTGGGATTTTATTGCAGTTTCGTGCTTGCTACTTCTCTGGCACAAAGCGGAATTTACGAGCAAGGTTACACATTTCCATAAAGGAAATACGTGAGTCGAGCATTTGGTACGGAGCACGTCAG